ACAGCCCATCTCTCGTCCTTCTCTACCTCCTCCTCCTCCGTTTCCCCCTCTCTGCCCCTCATCCCCTCCTCAACCTCCTTCTTCCCTCGAGCTCGTCGCCTTCCTCCTCCTCCTCGTCCTCCTCCTCCTCCTCCATCGCCCTCCTCCTCCTCCTCCTCCTCTTCCACCTCCTCCTCTGCGCGCTCTCTCTCTCTCTCTCTCTCGCTCTCTCTTCCAACTTCACAGTCGGCGCGCGGCCCCGGGAACCAAAATTTGATGTGCAGTCTTCCCAGTTGTTCCCATCCTGTTCAGACCCCATGACACGAGGATTCCAAGCTTTCCCTGTCCTCGCCCTCCAGATTCTCTCTTACTCCTTGCACTTCCGCCCCTACCTCTTACGAGAGCCCCACGCGTCTATCATTGCACGTGGCAAGGCTTCCGAGGTCGCGCAGCGGCCATGAGGGCCGCTCAGGTCCATTTCCTCCTCCTCCTCCTCCTCCTCGTCCTCCTCCACCTCCTCCTCCTCCTCCTCCGCGCGCTCTCTCTCTCTCTCTCGCTCTCTCTCTCTCTCTCGTTCTCTTTCTCTCTCTCTCTCTCTGTGCCTCTCTGTCGCACCCCTCCACCCGCCCGCGCGCCTTCTGAGTTCTTCTGTTTTGTAATAACAAAAACTGTTTGCTGTTTTTCTAAGACTCTGGGACTTTCCCCCGTCGCCGCGGCCGGGTTCTCGTGAAACTGATGGTCAGAACGCATCGTGGACAGGTTCGGAGGTCAAGTTTTTCAGGGAGTCGTCGTCGCCGCCGTCGTCGTTGTCATCGTCGCCGTCGTCCTTGGCTCGGCTGGCCCGCGCGCCGAATGGGCCCGCGTGGCAGAGAAGGAAAAGGAGCAGGAGGCGGGACGGAGGAGAAAAAGGAGGAAGAGGAAGGAACGGTGAGGATTGCGAGAAACAGGAGGGGCCCCAGGAAGACGGAAGGAGGGCACGGAGGAGCAGGAGGAGGGGAGGGCAAACGGCGGAAACAGAAGACAGCTTTCACTGGGACCCGTGCTCTCGCCGAGGCGCCGGCCACATCTCTCATTCAATATCGTGTTGCCGCTTCGCTCGCGGGACTCCCAGCCTCTACCAGGTCAGCATCCCGTCCTCCAGCATGCGGCCGCCGACTTTCCTCTCAATTCTTGACGCTTCGCGTATCCCCACCGGCCCGTCCAGAATTGATTGCCAGCTTTCCCGAGGCCTCTTGGAGGCTATCCTGAGCCATGCTCGGCTAGAGGCTGTCGGAAGCTATTCTGAGCCATGCTCGGCAATGTTGGGCCATATTCAGGCTGTCTTGAGGCCTCTTGGAGATCTGTCGGAGGCTCTATATTGAGCCATGCTTGGCTATCTTGGGCCATTTTGGAGGCCATCTTGGGCTATCTAGGGCTCTCTTGGAGCCATCTTGGGCCAAAAAGGGCGGGGTGGAGAATCTTCAAGAGAGGCTGGGAGGCCTCTCGGGCCCGTCTTGGGCCCCATTGTTCAAAAAGAGCGGGGGTCCTCAGTTCAGGTCCCCCCCTCGGAGGCTCTCAAACGGCGTCTTGGGGACGTGTTGGAGCGCTCTTTGGAAGCCTCTTGGGCGATCTTGGGGCCGTCTTGGGCCTTCTTGGGCCCCTCTTGGGGCTCTCTTGGGCCATCTTGGGGCCATCTTGATGCCTCAGGGGCCCATCGGAAGCGAAAAGACGAGAATGCCAAACACATTGACTTTCCTTAGGCTTTTGAAGGGTTTTGGCTTCTTGGAGGGCGCCGTGGAGGGCTCGAAGGGCACTTGGATCCGTCTTGAGGACTCTTGGAGGTGTGTCGGAGGCTATATTGACCCATCTTGAGGTATCTTGGGCCATCTTGGAGGCCATCTTGCGACTTGGACGCCTCTTGGAGCCATCTTGAGCCATCTTGGACGCTCTAACGCCTCCATCCCCCCCCTCCAGGTCCAGGGGAAGGTTACCCCTCCCCCGAGCAGGGGAAGGAAGGGGAAGAGAGAAGACCAAACTCGTTATACCACCAGCCTCCATCAGCTCAGCACTCCGACCTCTAGCGTCCGGCATCCGACTTTCCACCTTCACCTCCACTCAAGCGTCCACCAACGCTGCGCCCTGAGCCCCGCCCCGGGCGCTACCGCGCACTCGCCTCGCCTCGCCTCCGCTCGCACAATTCCCACACACCTCATTGAACAATTGTGTTCTCGCCCGCGCCCAGAAACATCGTAGGTGCAAGGATCAAGATTAGAAGGCGAAGCGCAGCGAGCCTAAAAATCTTGTGTGTGTATATATATATATATATATATATATATATATATATATATATATATGCGCAGCCCCCCCCCCAGCACCCATTGATTTTGCATCGATCGTTGACCTCAACTTCTTGCCATCATTCATTTCTCTTCCCCCCATCGCCTTCCCTGTCTTGATCCCTCGCTCTTCCTCTTCATGCTTCCCTCCCCCATCCACGTCTTCTTCACCTTCATGCCTTTTCCCCCTAAGCGTCGCAATACCTGGGAGGAGGAGGAGGAGGAGGAGGAGGAGGAGGAGGAGGAAGAGGAAGATGAGACACCTGCGGGTCGCGGGGCCCATGGGTGCCACGGAGGGCCCATCGACGTCCTATACTCCTTCATGCTTATTCCTCCCATCTTCCTCCCTGTATTGATTCCTCCCTCTTCCTCGCCTTCTTCTTGCGCCCCTCGCTCTCCATCCCAATCCCCCTCAGGGATCTGCCTAGCCTTGCTGCTGCCGCTGCTGCTCCCCGTGATCCTCCGCCCTCTGCGATTGCGAACGGCGGCCTCATATATATTCCTCATCTTGCCCTGTGCAATACTGTTTCTAGCATTCGCGCCGCATCTCCCATGCAGCCGCTCAGTTCGTTTCCGCGTCACCGTGTGTAGTGCGCATGCTTTTCCCTGCGTGGCATGCTGCAGCGTGCCCCGATTCCTTTTCTTATTTTTCCTCAGCCTTCTCCCCCTCCTCCCCCTCCTCCGCCTCCTCCTCCCCCTCCTCCTCCTCTTCGTCTGCCTCGCCCTTCCCGTCCGCCTCCTCCGGGGCCCAAGAGGCACCGAACCGTGTGATTTCATTGGGATGCTTGGGATTTCTGGGAGGAGAAACCCAGAAACCGTGTCATTTCACAGGGATGCTTGGGATTCCTGGGATTCTCCACCCTCCGACACAATTCCACCCTGAAGCTCCCCAGGATTCCGAATCCCAAGCATCCCTGTGAATTCACAGGGATGCTTGGGATTCGCGGCCTTGGGGAGGGGGGGGGGGGCCCTGGGTAGATTATTGTCGGAGGTAGGAAATCCCAGGAATCCCAGGCATCCCTGTGAAATCATAGGGTTTGTGGGATTAACATCCCAGAAATCCCAAGCATCCCTGTGAAATCACAGGGTTCGGTGCCTCTTGGGCCCACTGTGTGTGCAGAATGCTCGCCACAAGCTCAGGGTTCCCTCATTCGGGGGAAGGCGCCGTGTGCATGTTCTACAGTGCGCTGCCGTTAGGCGTTGGCCAGCCTTGCGGCCAGAGCGCGCGCGAGTGGAGTCGAAAAAACGCCCCCGCTGACGCCAGGGGAAGATGTAAGCGAGGAAGGGGAGGGAAAGGAAGGGGAGTGAAAGAAGGAAGGGAAAGGAAAGGAAGAGGAGTGTAGAACATCGCCAAGAGAAAGAAGGCGATGAATGGGTGCTGGGGGGGGGCTGTCCATATATATATATATATATATATAATATATATATATATATATATATATTTTATTTTTACAGCCGCTGGCGGAAGCGCCAGCGGCGGAAGGTCGCGAATGGGCCGCGGACGCGACTAAATTACCTAACGCGCGCAGGGCCGCGGATCAGGCGGCTCACGACAGCGTCCAGGGAAGACGATGCAGTCCAGGTGCCATGCCAGCCCCTGAACGGGCATGCAGGTGCGTCCAACAGGCCTGAGGTAGGCACCGAGACCACCAAGCGCAGCCAAAATGGCGCGAAAACGTTCCAACGTCCAAGAGCGAACAAGGGAACGACCGAGGACGCCAGCCCCAGCCTGTCGGGGAACACAGAGGTCGAAGTGGTAGTCCAACGAGGATCCCGACGGCGGCAGCGAGCCGCGGCGTCAGCGACATCAAGGTGTATCCATGATCCGAGAAGACAACCACACCAAGACGTATCGGCCCAGACCCAACAGGTGGAAGGGCACCGGATGCACGCTCCCGTCGTCTGGTGCGGATACGCGAAGCGTCAAGAGTTAGCACTCTCACCGATCAACTCGCATTGCGAACACAACTCGCATTCCGAACACAACGCATAATGAGGAACGAAGGTTTTTGTTTTTGGCCACGGGCAAGCCTCGGCCGCGGACGTGCTCCCCGACATGGACCTGGGATCTGAGGAATGGCCCACAAAGCGGAGGCCATAGCCCAACGCTGTCCATAGAGAGCAGAGAAACCACCCTCATTAGAAGCACCCCGACAAGCAAAGCCGCTTAGCAAACTCACCCAGGGAAAGAATCGAACAGGGCAGGGCTGTTCAGTAAACGCCCAGGGCCGCTGAGCAAACGCCTAAGACTGGGGTCGAGGCGGTTTTCTATCCCTGTCCCCAGAGATCCAATATTGCGAGCAATCCTGCAATGTCTAGGAAAATCGCGACTCGAGCCCTAGACCCAATCCTTCTGCACCACTTTTTGAATCGGATCGATCTGTGAGGGCCCCTGTGGCCGAAACCAGGTAGCAACGCCCGTTGTGGAAGAATTGCAACGCCAGGATCTCAGGGTCCCTTTCCTAGCCCCGCCTGCGAAGTGTATCCCCCCCTCTCGTCCGACCGGAGTAGGGAGCCCATAAGAGCACAAGAGACGTACGCGCGCATCCACGTACATGAATACGCCCTCCCCATTCCGCGAGACCAGCCTCGTGATACGAACGTTCGCGCAGTGCGTACTTTCGAAACCTACGTGGACTCATGTGCGTGTACGTCCTTCTTTCGCCCCTGACGGAGGGAGGCAGGCAACACGCTGCAACGGGGCGCCTGGACCAGCACCGGATCCAGCCGGGCGGCAGCGGCGGGTGGCCCTCGAAGAGCACCGCCTGCATCTGCTGCCTGGCCGCCCGTCGTCACCGCCGTCGCCGTCGCCGCCGCCGTCGTCGTCGCCGTCGTCGCCCTCGTCGTCCCTTGCGATCCAGGCGCTGCAATTTTTGTCACACGCTCTCGCACGGTGTCAGACCCCCGCGCCATCACAGGTCGATCTTGCTCGAAAAACGGTGTATAAAGATGGTGCCCAGGGCTCCAGGCGTGATCTTCTATGATATTGCAACTGTTTCGTGTCGCTGGATCTCAGAGTCGCCGACGTCGCCGCCCTCGTCGTCGCGATCGTATGTTGTTGTCGTCGCCGCCGCCGTCACGTGTCGTTGTCGTCGTCGCCGTCGTCGTCGTCGCCGCCGTCACATGTCGTCATCGCCGCGTGTCGTCGTGGCCGTCGCGTCATCGCCGTTGCCGTCGTGCCATCGCTGTCAGACCCCTCCTGCTGGCGGTGGTGCCGCTGCTCCCTGCTGTCGCCCTCGCCGTTGACTTCGTCGTCGCCGTCGCGTCGTTGTGGCGTCGTCGTCGTCGTCGTCGCGTGCTCGGAGTTGCCCTCCCCCCTGGAGGACAAAGGGGGGAAGTTGCAAAGCCTGCTTTTCCTGCGTTTGGCTGCTTTCGGCCGCTGTGCTGCCTCCAGGGGCCTCCATAATCCATCGGGGGCCTCCAGGGACGTCCAGGCGTTGGGACAACGGAAAAGACGCCAAGGGGGACACAAGTAAAACGACACAGATTGCAGAATGTCCCATAGCTGCCCAAAGTTCCTGGAGGTTCCTCGTCCCTTCGATTCCCCCTAGTTCCCCATACTCCATGGAAGCCAGAATCCACCGTTTTGTCAATATGTCCTGCATGTTCCTCTGCCCTTCCATTTCTTGTCTCCTTCCATACCTCATGGATATCAGCGTCACGTGTGTCCGCGCAAATCTTCACCTTCTGGAAAAAGGGCGGGACCAAACCTTTCCGTCGTCATGCCGCCGCCCTCCTCCTGGAGGTGGTGCTGATGCTGCTGCTGCTCGCCCGTCACGCGGGGGAAGGAGGGAATTCGCAAGACGTTTTGAGGGGTTTGAGGGTAGAGGGTCGATGGTCCTCCTGCTGGCCAGCCTCCTCATCATCATCCTCATCCTGTCATCCTCCGTCCTCCTGGAGGAATATCGGGGGGAAGGGGAGCCGCGGCCGTGTTTTGGGCCCGCAGTCGGCCGAAGCAGGGAGGAGGTGCTTGTGGTTGCGGGGTGCAGCGTCCAATTCTCCCACTCTTGGGGCATGGTTTTGATTCCACCTATGTGATCCCAAACCTGGGTGGCAGGACAGCAGCTTCATACGAACACATACACACACACTCATGCACACACGCACACACGCAACACACACACACACTCACACACACACTCTCACACACTTACACACACCCACACACACACACACACACGCGCGCACGCGCACGCGAACGCGCACGCGCACGCGCACGCACACGCACACGCACACGTACAAACAAACGCACACGCACACGCACACGCACACGCACACGCACACGCACATGCACACGCACACGCACACGCACACGCACACGCACACGCACACGCGCGCACGCACGCGCGTACGCACGCACGTACACACGCACACGCACACGCGCGCACGCGCGTACGCACGCACGTACACACGCACACGCACACCCGCGCACGCACGCACACACGCACGCACGCACGCACGCACGCACGCACACACACACACACACACACACACACACACACACACACACACGCACTCTCACACACACACACACACACTTTTGAGCGGTGGCAGCCTCGCGCGCGGCGACGAGGCGGAGTAAGTCAAAGCACGCACACACACATGCTTTGTTTGGCGATCGCGGCCCCGCGACCAGCGACGAGGCGGAGTAAGTCAAGTACTGTGAGCGGGACCCCGCGCGTGCCAGCCTCAGAACAGCGCCGCAAAATATGCGCATACACACACCTCAGGATCCACGAGAGGAGAGGAATGAGGAGGGGGAGAATCGACAGGGAGGGCAACAAGAGTCCTCCGAGGGCTTCGGTCATCCTCTGCCGATTGCTCGGGGCTTGACATTTCTGGAGATTCCCCCCCCACGTTTCCAGGGGCTTCCAGAAGCTGGAGGTGGAACACCACCCTCCGAAAAGTCGTGCCCGCCTCCCCTCGGAGGCTGGGGCCGATGGCTTAGTCTGGACATGGACTCGACCAGGATATTGTTTTCAGGTACAGCGTAGGCGTGACTACCTACCAGACCATCCCAGCCGAATCCGAAGACCCAAATCTCGGGCTGGGGGCGGTATGGGTTCCACGTGTTTTTTTCAATGTTCCCCGGCGCCCCCCCCCACTAGGCGGCCGTAGCAAGGGGGGGGGGGTGGGGCCCCGGGCAACGGTAGCGCTTGGGCAGGGTAGGGCACCTGTGCAAAGCCTGCGAGCACAAGCGGCGGGGCGCCTGCGAGCACCGCGGCAGACACTCCCGCCAAACGGACGATCGTTACCGTTGCCTGGACGGGGGCAGGTAACGACCGCTACGCGCGAGAGGATGAACACACATGTCTTTAAGGGCCTGGCAAGCGCAAGAGGCAGAGGCGTCTGCCCTGCGTCTGCGAGGTGCACTGCGACGCAGAGGCGGAGGCCCTGCGTCTGCAGCACGCCCTGTGAGGCAGAGGCGTGGAGCAAAGGGCGGCGACACAAGCGGCGCGGCAGAGAACGGAGAAATGACGCGATGGAGCTGCCGCTGCCACATGCTGTCCGCGCCGCCTGGCAAACTACTTTCCAGGATCCACTTCTACGCAGATACGGTTGGGAATTGTTGCTCAACGATCGGGGGTCTACTGACCCAGGTCAATCCAAACCCAGGTCAGTCGGGCCTTGCAGAATCCTGCAAAATCCTGCTGGAGCCTGCAAGTCCCTGCGCCCAAGCCGGGGTCAGTGCGACCGTGGCCCTGCACAGGATCCTGCAAGATGTGGCGCTCTGGCTGACCCCAGTTTGCATTGACCCCCGCCTCTTGAACCCAGAAGTGTGTCGCGGCGGCGGCACCGGCGACGCGCGATGCCCTGCGACCAGAGAGCGTGTCGCTTCGCTTCGCGGGGCAGGGGCTTCGAAAGGCTCGGGACGGACGTGGAGGGCCAGAGCTGGCGGGGCGACGCGCTCAGCCAAAGTTCCTGGCCGCAGCCGCGCTGTTACAACAACGTGTGCGCACATCCTACTTACGTTTACTTCCTGGCATACAGATTCGCCACCGTGCCTGCATGGAATGGAAGTGTTGGAATGCGCATCTTGTTGTCGATGCTGTTGTTTTGTTGCTTGCACTTATGGTATCTTCCTTCTGGAACAAATAACTTGGGGGGGTTGTCGGTCTGGCGGCTATGTTGCTGCCGTCGCCACCCCGTCGCCGCCCGCCGTCTGGTTAGGACTGTTGGTCTGGCGGGTATGCTGCCGCCGTCGCGGCACAGTCGCCGCGTCGTCGCCGCTCGTCGTCTGGGCCTGACTGTCGGCCTGGCTGCTGTATTGCCACAGTCGCCGCCTCGTCGCCGCCCCGTCGCCGCCTAGATTGTACAATGTGCAATGTGGATGACCTTCCCCCCCAGAAAAACTTGGACCGACCCCCCCAGTTTTATCAGCACCAGCAGTGGGAGAATAGACATTATACTTGAGTATGCCCCATCGTTCATTTTAGGTATGAAGTCTTCCCCTCCCAACCAAGCCAGCGATCGGCCCCCATCCCATCCGTCTCAAATCAGCATGCGCGAACACCCGTTTAGAAAAAAAACTTCCAATTATCCGCTCTGAAACAAAACTCAACACAATCGTCGCGCGCGCATGCCGAAATCCTTCAACAACCTTCGGTTCCGGAAGGAATTCAACATCGAATTCCCCAAACACATGCAATTAGCCTGAAGAAAGGCCCAACCATATGCACGTGTGTCTACCGCAATTGTGATTCACTATTTCGGCGGTGATCCCTGAGGCAACGAACCGTGCTAGGGGTGTGTCGACATGAGTGGCGTGATACACGACGCGAACGAAAACGAACAACGCAATGCGGACTGCGCCACGGGGACCTTCGGTGGGGCTCTATATGGGGCCACGAAGCGCTGTTCTGGGTGGGGGGGGCGCATGCGGACTGCGCCACGGGGACCGTTGGTGGAGTTCCCTTGGGGCCACGAAGCGCGTGAAGGGTGCGCCGAAATGAGTGGCGGGGACGCGTGCGGACTGCGCCACTGGGACCTACGGCGGAGGCCCCCTCTCCAGCAACGCACGGGCGGGAGAAGGAGCCTTTTCAGGTTCCCCTTCCCGCCGCCTCCGGAAACGAATAAGCGGAGGGGGCCTTTTCAGGTCCCCCCTCCCACCGCAGGACAGGGGGCCTTTTCAGGGCCCCTCTCCGGCAACGCACAGGCGGGAGAGGGTTCCCCCCCCCGTCGCCTCCGGCAACGCACAGGCGAGAGGGGGCCTTTTCAGGGCCCCCTTCCCGCCGCCGGACAGGGGGCCTTTTCAGGGCCCCCCTCCGGCAACGCACAGGCGGGACAGGGGGCCTTTTCAGGGCCCCTCTCGCACCGCCGGACAGGGGGCCTTTTCAGGGCCCTTCCCCGGCTACGCACAGGCGGGAGAGGGGGCCTTTTCAAGGCCCCCCTCCCGCCGCCGGACAGGGGGCCTTTTCAGGGCCCCTCTCCGGCAACGAGCATCAAGCGTCAAGCATCAAGCGTCAAGCGTCAAGCATCAAGCATCAAGCGTCTCTGGCTCAAGCGTCAAGCATCAAGCATCTCTGGCTACAGCATCTCTGCCTACTCGACTCACTCTTACACTACACCGTTCAACATGTCTTCTCCTTTCTCTCCTCTCGCTCGTGGCACGCGTGCGGCAGGAACCCCAGTCGGTGGTCTTCTGAAGAACGATGTCGCGACCAAGAAGACCCGTGTAGGACACGGTCCAAACTCCCCCCTCGACGATATGGATGATGAGCCAAAGCCCGGTGTCATCGTGCAGTCCGAGGGCGCCGGCGCTTCGCTCCTCGACCTTC